TGCTTAATCACTGATCATTATTTTACACCTGACTTTTTCTTTATCAGAAGAAAAGAATGTTTGCTGCTCTAAGTCCCTGAACAAATAATATGTATTTCAATACACATTCATGGTCAAGTTCAGAGCAAATAAATGCTCTTTGGCAATCATAGAGTTTCTAACTATAGACCCACAATTTTTAACCTTTAGTCAAACAAATATTATGTTCTTTGAATAAAATGTTCAGTTTAGAAAAAGAGGAAAGGGATACATAAAATATTAAATTGCAGTGGCAATGCAAATTTAAATTCTAATATGGGAGCTTTATCTGATGAATGTATTTGTAAGTCACTGAGCCTGATAGCAATATTCATATATTAGAGCCAGAGAAAAATGATCTTAGATCTAAAGATTGTATAACTTAATTAAGTCTATCTATTCAGTATGATAACTAACTCTGGATTGAAGTTACCAGAGAGGTATCAGAAATGTCAAGTGTTCTTTACTTGTGTAACTAGAGGCTTAAAGCAAACAAAAAGGCAAATATTAGGTGTTAATACTTGCAATTATAAAATATAATGAGTAATCTGAGAATTCCTTGAACAGGAATTAATACTCTCGTACAGAAAAATAGATGCACAATTCATTTCATTACTGATATCATTATTGTTTAGAATGATAATCATGCTTATTGAAAATAGAAGAGGGAGAAAATTCCCCAGTCTGGGAATAATCTGGTATATAGAACTAAGTTTTGTATAAGATATGCTCTGAAAATAAAATAAAATGATAAAAGTTTAATCAAGTCTTATTCGCAAATTCTCAATGACTATTGCATCTAACAATATGAAGACATAATGGTATATTTTAACAAGTGTATTTGAGCATTAGAAAAATATTACGGTCATAGAGTTCTACAGAGAAGAAATAGAGTAATGTATTGCTTAAAGATAAAAAAGACAGGGATATTTGGGAAAGCAATAATAGAGATAAGCAAGAAAGAATTGGAAAGAAAGTTGTGAACAAACCACAAAGAACATGAGGTTCAAAAAAAAAGATCACTGAAACTTAAAAATGTGTGTTGTGATGTTTGTACTCTGCAACAAAAATGGACAGGAGAACAAAGTACATGAAACATAGCAAATTGTAGAAACAAGAATGAACACAACTGAACTTTCATGGAGGATAAGGCAACTGCAAGCTGTCTGGATAAGCCCAGGGCAAGACTAGCTGTACTACCTTTTCCTGCCTTATCTGATTTAATATGTAGTATTTTATATGTCATTTTTAGTGACTCATTTTCTAAAGAATGGGTTTATTTATATCAAGAAATACTAAGTCAGCTTTGTCAAACTGTTCTATACCTTTTATGTATAATAAACTAATAATCACAAAATAACCTACATAATAAACTAAAGCATTAATATTTTACTTAACAGTAAATGATTTTGCGGACAAGATTATTAGTACAGGGATTAACATACAAGCCTTATATGAAGCTGACCTCAATTTGATCCCTAGAGCTACATAGTACCCCAGGAATAACCAGGGTGCCACTGGAGGCCCTCCCCAAGAACCACTAGGATAGCCTGAATATTTCTCAGCACTGCAGAGCCTGAGGAACACTGTCCTACTGTCTTGAGGAAAACTTCCCCAAGGAAAACTGTCCTGAGGTATACTGTCCCAAGGAACAATGTCCTGAGGAACTTTGTCTTGAGGAACACTATCCTGAGGAACACTGTCCTGAGAAATACTACCCTAAGGAACACTTTCTTGAGGAGTCCTAAAGAACATTGTCCTGAGAAAGTGTTCTAAGCAGTCCTGAGGAGCATTGTCCTACTCTCCCACAGAACACTGCACCAAAAAATACTTTTGTGAGGAAAACTGTAACAAGAAAAATTGTTCTGAGAAATACTATCCTGAGGAACACTGTCCTGAGAAATACTGTCCTGAGGAAAATTGTTCTGAGGACACTTTTCTGAAGAACACTATTCTGAGGAACACAGTCCTTAGGAACATTGTCCTGAGAAACAATGTCCTGAGGAACATTGTTCTGAGGGACACTGTCTTGAAGAACACTTTCTGAAGAACACAGTTTTGAGGAATATTGTCCTGAGGAACACTTTGCTGAGAAATATTGTCCTAAGGAATACTGTCCTAAGGAACACTGTCTTGAGCAGACTCAAAGAACATTGTGCTGAGAAACACTGTCCTAAGCAGTCCTAAGGATCATTGTCTTAAGAAGTCCTGAGGAACACTGTCCTGAACATCCTCAGAACTCACATGGAATTGTCAGGATGGGGATCTGAAACCTCCTGAGCACCACTCGGGAGAAAGTCCCATCCCCCAAATTACAAATAAACAAAAAAAACCCTTGATTTTATTTCTATGAAGAGAATGTCTCTTCTTCTGCCTCAAAATATTTAATTCTCAGAAATTAAGTCAAGGATTCATCTTGTTTTCTGGGTAGAGCTCTTTCCTAAGGTATAGAGGAAAGACACAGTAAGAAAAAAGACAAGGGACCATTTTCAGAAAATGTTAATTTATTACCATAGGTGACTCTGAGTTATACGTAACCAACTGAAGACAAGTCTATAACTGATTGGCCGTGTGGAGAGGAGCTTTACATGGACATTTTTGTGGATGTCCAATTTTAAGGACATAACCTGGTTTAGAATACTTGATTATAACTCCATGCATTATGTAATCTGTTTTATAACTCCATGAGTTAGTAATTTGGTTCTTTTAAATTTTTTCAGTGTAATCATTCCTGTGGATTAGGAATGATGCCCTTCCTAATGTCCCTCATTTCTTTCCTGTGGCATTAGGATAATTTTATTACCTTTACAGACTTGTTCTGCACACTTTTCTGCAACAGAGAACAATCATTCTCATATGCTAAATATTTTTCTCTTGCTGCACTCCTGGAATTGTGTCTAGCTCTAGTTTGTAAAAGGTAATTCATTATTTCAAAATAAGAATCAATCATTAGAGACAGTCAGGAAATTTCCCTAAAAATCTGTTTGTTTTATTTAGCTTCTTTCATATAATTCAGTTCAAAACTTGCTTTCATTCAACTTACAAAAGTATAGAGTCTTACAGAATTTTAACCTTTTCAATTTGGCCTATAAATCTAGAGATGGGGTTATGTATACATCGTTCATTAACAAAACAGAGCCCACCTGTGCAAAACTTTTCCCAGCCCAAATAAGCAGCTTCACCTGATATTGTAACAGATATTCTTGAATTTGAAAGAGGCAGCTGGCAAATATCAATTATTGATAAAACATAGAGTAGAAAAGTCTGAGGGCAGTCAAATCTTTACACCAGATTCATATCTTTATACCAAACTCCTTTATATCAACATCATCTTTTGTATATCCCTATTATCCTTATGCAAATTGAAAACATTTCTCCAGGGAACACATAGTTTTAGAAATTCCAATCTTTGCCCTAATATCTGGAAGTAAAAATTACACTTACTTCATCACTATACTCATTCTTCCCCTTCTCCCTCTGCCCTCCCCCGAGTCCCTAAGTTGGAAACAGTGAGTTTTCCATTGACAGGAAAAAACAATTAATGCTTTCCCCTGGAAGAATTGGCTTTGTATCTAAGTTAATAAGATAGCACAACCCAGTCATTGCCTTTTATACTAAAGAAGTGACTATGGCAATCAGTCCATTATTCTTTTAGTACATTATAACACAAAATTAAACAAATCATAGGGAGAAAAAGGTGAGGAAAAAACTTAGCAGCCCAACAGATATTTGGTCAGCATCTACAACATGCCCAACAACTTGCCACAGTATCACAATGACAAATATATTCAGCCTTTAGACTACAGAGTTCTTGTGAAGAATTCATGTTGCATCAACTAATAATACCTGATGAAGAATGTAGGATGTATCACAGATGCTCAGAGACATCATTTTCCCTCATAGATTCACAAAGGGAAAAAAAAACTTCTCAGCTCTTTCAATTATACATATATATGTATGTATATATATCTGTATATGCATATGTACATATATATGTGTGTGTTTAATTCATTTAATTCATCTGTTTAATTTGTTTTTGTTAACATCATGTTGGTTTTCATCAGTCACAACCAGATTCTCCAGTAGTTAACTAGATTGTCTTAACTAGACCTCCCTTTTATTTAAGACAATAGAGGAGAATGTAGTTAAGACAATAAAATCTATGTTGATAAGACCAGTTGCCATTTTAGGACTGGAAAACGATGAATATATACCATTCCTTTTTCTCTAGAAAATGATTTAGACATGTCCGTTAATCACACTGGTGTCTTTTTATGCAGATTTTGAAGACAAGTGATCTTATATTTTTAAATGCCAGCATGCAAGGAAACCCCACCGGTATCCCCTGCTGTTAGTAAACTGGTTGTTTGCAGAAACTCTCCCAAGAGGCCATTCAGAGACCATTATTTCACTGCAAAGACTTAAAAAGAATAATTGATTTGAATAACACTTACCTGTGTTTGCAAAATGAATGCTACCCAGCCATAACAAGCCCAGAACCAGAGTCACTAAAAAACAATGCAATGTTTGGGATTTATGAGATTAAGACCTGTCAGTAATAATGCCCTTATTGGGGTCTTTTCGATTCATCTTGCATAGTTTGCTGTATACTCACAGTTAAATCAAATCTGGCATGCATTTCGAGGCTAAGGTGCTGCATACAAGATGTGAAACATATACACTGCAGAGGTTCACTTTGCATGAAGGGTCATAGAAGACCATTTCAAATGTCTTTATGATCTTTGTGTTCTTTTGAAACAGTCATATGACTCTTTCAAATGCAATATATGCATTATTACTAATGATTAACTTAATTGCTTATGGGTATTATAAATATGAAGGAAGACAATTACCATTACACAGAGAGATGGATCAAGCATGAATCAATGCAGAAGGAAAATAAGTAAACAGACATGAGGTTAGACAAGGGAAGGGATCCCAAACAACACTGATGATGACAACAACGAAGATCATCTCTTAACCTGTTTTGTCAGAGCTGGCATTGATGGTATTGGTAGTGATGGAGGTGAAGGTAGTCTTTGCGCTGTCCTTGGCAGTTACAGATTTCTGCTTATTTTTCATGGCTTCCAGTGCTTTGAGCTTCTTGGCATGTTTCGTGCCTTTGTAGTGGGCCGCAGCCTGGCTCTACAAAGGAGAACAAAATGAACCATGCAATCAGGCTCATTTCTAAACTAACATTCTCTGTATTACTGCAAATACAGACTCCCTTTCAATAATAGGTACCATTCATACTAACTTGGCCATAACCAGACAGTAGGATTCTGTTTAGAATGATGCGAGAAAGCAATGGGAACCAAGTTCTAAAATCTCAGATAGGAGGGATGGTCTTGCTTCTCTTGAAATAAAAAAAAGGTAACTGAACAGTAACACATCTACAATGTTTTGTTTGTGAGGTGTGAGGTGGGAAAAAAAATAATTACATCTGTTTTGTCTTGCCACAGAAGATGCTGGGCTCCCAAAGATAAGCAAGGACTGAGAGAAGAGTAACTCTCACCTTGACTCAGGAGATGCATTTTCTCTATTTACAATGCATCTTATTAAAACAGTGCCCAACAGATATCTACAAGGAAAAGTTTACATATAACAAGCGAAGTAGGCACCCTAAAGACTAGGAGTGAAATTTGAGGTCTTAAAAGGAAATGTTCTACCTATGTCCAAATGGTAGTACATGTGAGCTGGGTAATTTTCTGATTCTTCTCCTTGCTTCCCATAGAGCAATTTAAGCTAGTGGAACTCTTTCAAAAATACAGATCTTTTATGTCCTAGTTCATTGTCAGAAGACTACTCAATAGGGCTAATGCAATTCTTTTGACTGTGCTTTTGGAGATTTTTTTAAAAAATGGTACTATGTTTCCCAAATTTCTATTTTCTTATAACTATTTTGGGGGGAACACATGAGCAGATACAAAGAAATTCTCTTTTTGTTTTATTTTCAAAGATATCATCTTAAATCAACATTTATGATTATTTATTAAAAAAATCATTGTGGTTTTGAATAGATAGGAAGCTTCTTATTTCATATGTTTTCTAATGTAAAATGTTTTAAAATGTCACTTTACAAAGAAGAAATCTCAATGAAAGATTGCCTATTATACTTTATAGACCTTATTTATACTTAACATTATTGTTTTCCAGGCAAAACAATAATCACACTTTTCTCTGCATCAATAGCAACTACTGTGGTAGGTAGGATGCGGTAGTAAGTATTTTTGTATAAATAGATCATCAAGAAATTCATTTGCATCATTCTGACAAGTATATTCAAAGGATTAGGTACCCTTATTGAAAGAACATAAACAAGGAAACTATATATTAGAAACAGTTTGAACAGAGAGGACACTCATGCATCAGTTACAACTTTTCTAACAACACATAACATCCAAAGACATAAAGTGAGCCAAACTATGATGTTAAGACTTTTTATAGTTAATAGAAAACCCGTGATTCATTAGATTAATTATATTACCACGAAGAATGTACTCAGGTATAGTCATGTTCCATTTTTCCTGCCTAGTACTGTTCCTTTTTCATAAATCCTTGGCCATATAGCTTTTGAAATAAATATGTTATATTACATTAAACTCATAATACAATTGTTCATCTACTCTAGATAGCTGGTTACACTTTTTACCTTAACGTAAAGTTCCTCCGTTCTCTCTGTCTTACCCTAGTCTAGAAGAATGTTTTTCTATTTAGGTAGTAAAATATTGACTGTAGATTAACAATGTCTTCTCTTCTTATACCTCCAAATACACATTTTTGCCTCCTAGCAAATTTGCATTGTCAGTGATATTTCAAATCAGATAATACATTGTTTTAATATAGTAGGCAGACTAAATATCACTATTTTAAATATTAAATAGAGCCCGGCAAGCTACCGAGAGTATTCGATATGCCAAACACAGTAACAACAAAAGTCTCCAATGGAGACGTTACTGGGCCCGCTCGAGCAAATACTATTTTTTATGCTAAGAATATTTTTTCAAAGGAAAATGTACTTACACCTTCCTTTCCCAAAAACTGTCTGTACAGCAGTGTTTCTTACTAGTGTCATAGCTCAGGGGCTTAGGAAAGGACATGAGAAAAATGGACAATAGCTGGGAGATGCCGCCCTAAGGCACATGCCATATTACAAAAGCAAGGTAAGGCAAAACAGTTTAACAAAAAATTAAACGCTCACTTGTCCTAAAGAACCCTGATGATAATTCTCATAATTAAGACTTTTCAAATCAATTAAAAAGTAACAAACTTTCCCACAAGTTTGGTATAAAAAAGCAAATGATAGAAGATTCAAAATGATATGGAGACACCATGAAACAGAATTTAAGAGATAATGGTGGTGTTGAAAAAGAGTATTATTAGTAGTTGAAACAATATTATATAATTGTGCAAGATGCATGCTTGTCATGGCTGAAATGGGCATAAAATTATTAACCTACTATAGATAGATAATCCCTCTGAGTGATCTTTTTTTTAAAATTTGGTATTAGCCTTTATTTAATGTTTGTAAAATTACTGGAGTAACTTGGGATTATATAGATATTATTTTTTCTAGATTATAATATGACCTACAGAATTGCTGATTCAACTTGATATTGGAGTGACATATAAAAGTATATTATTTCTTATAAAAATAAATGAGGCAGCTTTCCTTATATCTTTAGGTTTCTTTAGTGATGGAATGATTTTTTAGCCTATCCAATCTTTCTCTGACTTTTTACAGAGGTTAAATATAAGAAGGAATATTGCTTGGAAATTTGTAAAATAACAGAATCCAGAGATGTCTCCAAGCATCATGGACTTTTCCTTTGGGTAGAGACACACAGAGATTTCATAAACCTCATTCCCTCCCAGGTTGTTTCCTATTATTTATTAGTCAGTCTCTGAGTCATATTATTCCCAGAAATCTGGAACCTAACAGACACAAGAGGCTATTTATCACAGGAATGATTTTATGGTTAGATAAGTATACAGCACATTTTAGAATTTTGTATTTAAAAATGAAAACAAACTTAGATGATGGTAGTACACAGAAGTGAAAGCTACACAAACTGACATTGAGCTTACTTTCGAATATTTATTGCAAACGAGTGCAGTTTGTATAAAACTCATAATTCCTGACCTTTCAATAGCATATGACACCAAGAAAGTTCATGAGTACATCCAGAGAAACCAATTCTGATATTAAGTCTATGCCCACACATTCCTGTAAAATACAATGATGCAACTTCATATGTCATCGACACATCCAACTATCAGTACTCAAATTATTCATCTTCAGATCTTATGTAATTATTTCAAAATGTCTTTAATTTTAAATTTAACTTAACTTCTAAAGTAAATAAAAATGTTGCTAAATGACTAACATGTGTTAGAGGAACAGATATATCTACAAATTTAGTAAACTGAGAATGTTCTTTAATAATTCAATTTTATCTTTTGAAAATCACTGGAAATATAGTATTAAATGTAATTTTACTTCTTTGTATAAAAATCTTGTACACTTCTACTCTGTATCTCTTTTATATCACATAGTATTTTATTTTTACTTAAAACACTTATTTGTAGCAAATTTGGTTATTCAATGGTTACATGATTTCATAAGGAACAACATAGTATTTGTTAGTATTATATCACATAAATTTATAGCATAAAATTTTTTTGATCATACCTAGTGGTATTTAGTACTTACTCTTGGCTCTGCACTCAGGAAAATACACTTAGTTGGGTTAAGGGCACTATTTGTGGTGCCAGGGATCAAACCCATACTGGCAGCATGCAAGGCAAGTGCCCTGCCAGCTGTACTATTGCTCTGGCCCATGTAGTATACACAATTATACATCATATACAAATTTTAGTAAAATAAAATGAATATTAGTAAATTGAATTATAGCACCAATAAAAGGAACAATGATTATTTTAAAAGTTACCAGTCTCTATGGAAAGAAGAAATATAAGTTAGGTTAGACAAGTTCTATGTTTGGTTCTATTTTCTGGTTTTGTTTCGGGGGGATGTTTTATTCACATTCACAAATTTCAGGATAAATTGCTGAATTTCTGCTCTGTAGCAGCCCCAGGTAGTACGTGGGAGACCATAGCTGGATCAGGTAATGAACTTGTATTAACTGCATGCAAGACAAGCATTCAACCTCTCATACTATCTCTTCATAATGTTTGTTTTTAAATATATGAACTATTTTAGCAAAATTTGTTTAGGGAATATAGAGATAGTGCAGAGGCATTTGCCTTACCCACAGCTGACCATGGTTTATTCAAATAGTTAAAATAAAGAACACTATATATTAGATACAGTTTGAACATAGAGAATATTCATGCATCAGATACAAGTTTTGTAACTGCATGTGATCCCTGAAGCACTACCAGAAGTGATCCCTGAGCATGGAGTAAATTATGAGCATTGCCTGATGGGGCCCCAAAACAAAACAAAGAAAAATTAGCTTAGTTGTTTTGGATAAAAAGGAAAAAACAATTAAAGATATAGCATTCTAAATCCATCAAAAACACTTTGGATTAATATTTTGAAAACTTAAATTTTCTTCAGAAAAAAATGTTTTAATTTTATCTTTGTATAGCTTTAGTTATTTTGCTTACATTCACTCAAGTCTGATACTGAGTCTAAATGTACACGAGTTAATATATGTTTACCATAGGCTTTAAGATCAGCTGTGTATTCCAGTTGGCTTGTGACATATTTTAAATATCACTCTTTTACATACCAATAGTAGATGTCTAAGTGCTTATTTGACTTCAATGTTTCTATTATCAGCTATTGGCTTCATTTAGTATCTAGAGAAAGCACTAACTCTCCAAGTGTGCTTCCCAGGCCAGAAGCAGCAGCAGCAATTGGAAGCTCCACTGTAGCACTGTAGCACAGTCCTCCCATTGTTCAATGATATGTTCAAGCAGGTCCAGTAATGTCTCCATTGTGAGACTTGTTGTTATTGTGTTTGGTGTATCGGGTACACCACAGGAAGCTTGCCAGGCTTTGCTGTGTGGGCGAGATACTCTTGGTAGCTTGCCAGGCTCTCCGAGAGGGGCAGAGGAATCAAACCCGGGTCATCTGGGTCTGCCGCATGCAAGGCAAATGTCCTACATTCACAAAT